CTAAATTAAAGCCACATCTCATACAACACTCGCAGCCATTTTTACGAGTCTAATTTCATTAGAGAAATTGGATAATTATTTCCATTGAATATCGGCAAAGACCCTCCAATGTTAACACGAGAGAATAACATTGTGAACAGATAAACCTCACAAAAATAAGAAAATATCGAAGACTATGACCCGTTGAAACTCACCCTTGCCTTTTTGATCGTTGTCATTGGGTGCTATAGCTGTGTTGGGCATTTTTTCGTCCGATTTTTCTGCGGTGGTTCTCTCGTCTGTTGATGTTGAACGTCTCGAGCCCCTTCGAGATTTGCATTTTCCGTCAACAACCTGAAGGGAATATCAAAAATATATAATTGCACCACAAACGATTAGTTTCCAGCAAATAACATACTCACATGGCTCCAAGATCGTTTGTTTTCTTTAGGTAACTTTTGCCAACGTTTTACGAGCAAAACGCAAGCATTACAAATCAGACCCGTTCGGGAACCTTGCTCGACGTTGAAGCAAGCCGTGAACAGATTTTCGTATTTTTCTGTCGGAGTAAAACGCGAACTAGAGGATTTTGACCCACAAATGCAACAACCACTGCTGGAACGATAAACTTTTGGTTTGTGCGAGCCAAACATTATGTATAAGATGTCTTTTTTGTTTAAATGTTATGTAGTGTCAGTATCAAAAATCCTGCCAACATTGACATGCAAGAAGGATCCCAAGAGGGGGAGGACCCTGAAAAAACAAACAAACTGCGCATGATCGGAAGTTATATACGAGTTTTCCCCAATGGTTTTTCCCATTGGTTTTTCCTCGCCAAAGGTCAGAGGTTATATAGATTTCTCGAAATCAAAGTTTTTTGCTTATTGTCTTAAAAAGTGCGGTAAAACGGAGGTACATGTTGCAGGGACAAATCCCTTGACGGTTGCCACTCGGCGGTGATGTCCTATGGCCACACGAGGAAATGGTTCGTGCTACATGTATGTCGTGGTTGTTCCAGGAGCAAGCAACAAGGAGGAATTTCGTTTTGAGCAATTCCGAAATTTTCAGGCAGAGCCAATCAGAATTCCTAAATTTTTAATACTTCATGTAAAATCGCAAATGATGTAACGTTTTACCGGAAGTAGTCAAGATATATGCATTCTGATTCTGCAAATCAAATTTTGTCCCTGCGACATGCGTCCAGGCAAGATCTAGGCCAATAGTGAAACGCGGTATTTATGTAGTATAGGCCCCGTCCACACGATGCCGGAAGAATTTTAAAACGCAAAAATATTTCTCCGTTAAAATATTTATCCGCGTCCACACGTCAAACAAAATTAAAAACGATTTGCCTAGAGTTACTTGATCCCGCAGTACACCTCCATGTTCGCCACCCGCGTGTAACAGGTGGGATGTCGAATTCAAAACAGAAATCTAAACCCAAAGCAAAAAACAAGAATGAGAACTTTGTTTGGGCCACTGTTTGGACAGACGGCAAACTTGTATATATTAAATGCCGTGTACAAAAGACTGGGTTATAACCAAATGCTCCGACATTTTGGACATGTTTCTCGCGTAAAATGGTTCGTCGGCAAATGGTAATGTAAAAAGCATTGTCGAAGATCTCACACACCATGAAATTTTTGCGAAATTTTCTTCCTGCATCGTGTGGAAGGGGTAAAAAAAATTGCTTCAAGAAATCTAATTTGGATACCAAATGACTTTTGATAAGTTTTGAGACTGTGAAAGGACTTTGTACTTAGAATTTAGGGTACAACTTATGTTAACACTATGTTACGGTCACAAAACGTATAGCAGGGTTACTTATACATATATAGGAATAGTCTGCACTTTCAGTTTCACTCAACTGAAAAACTACGCAACCCATCCTTCATTCTAGGCTGCCATGTAGCAATTAAATTGCTTGCGCCGAATTGGTGTTGCAGTGACTGAAAAACGCCTCCTTTTCTTCTGCTGCATTTTTCTTCTAATAGATGAGGAGTAGCCATTCAATGGGGGAGCCTTGAAAAGAGCAATTTGCCGTTCCCCGAGATGAAAACAAGATCCAAGGGAAAAATAAATATAATTATTATATGTGTATAGAGATTTATGCACAGCAGAATGATGAAATAAAAATCGTATTTCACTGTGTAAATTAATCTCATGCAATTTTACTGGACGTACGACGTTTTTCACGTGTCAAAAACTGCCATACACGGCTTTTGATTGGACGTACGATATTCTTCACACGTGAAAAATTGTCGTATGTCATTTTGGCGGCAATTTGTTTACATTTTCTTTCAAAGATGGCGTCACATTCTAAAATCTTTCGGAAAGAATATCTATAACTTCTATTGAACAAAATTACAAAGAAACTGAACGATAATAAATATGTTTTGATGCATTAAATTTCGATTTTTGTTGCTCGCTGTTTTTGTATATTAAAAGCGTGTCGTTGTCAAATTGATCTCTATACACATTTAATAAACAAATTATTTCATGCTTGGCTCGTTTGTACGATTTTTATTATGAACTCGTTGTGAAGGATCGCGAATTCACTCGTTCGCTACGCTCACTCGTTCGTTTTGCGATCCTTCACAACTCGTGCATAAAAGTCGTACATACTCGCCAACCATAAGGTAATCTCTATATACAGAACGAAAATAGTAGTGTAGCAGAGTAGTGCTAAACCTTCAAAGAAGGGGGGGGGGGGTCCAGTGAAACGTCCATATATGACTTTTCTCTTGCAAAATCGATGTTCGGTTTCCTCGTTTCCCCAATATTGTATAACAACAATGAACCTAAATTAGCATTGTTGAATATAACTGAATACGTTGTGATAATTATAAAAAAACACGTTATCGGACCACTTATCCCACGCTGCAAACATGAATAAAACTACCCGTTGTAATAGTTGAGTTACTGGACTTGTTATTATTAATATAACAATATTCTTACAACCATGCATGTGTCGTCAACCTTGTAACTTCTTTGATTTTACTTGCCTGTTACAAGTTGTTAACAGTTTATTTCGGGATTGTGAAATATATATAATTTTATATATGATCAACTTGAAATGAGCGTGTATAGTGTACGAAGACTGCCTTACACAATTGTGCGTTTTTATGGATGCAATAAGTCATATATAGCCAGTCCATATAAATCATAGAAGCTGGAGAATAAACAACTCGTTTTAATGGACCTTTATGTACATTCACAGTCTGTGAGTTTTACTATTATACTAACCGAAAACGCAAGAAATATAAAGCGAATTTACTTGTCTTAACATGGAGTAACGTGTCCATAGAATCACCCCCTAATATTAAGTCAACGGTATACTTATATACTTCTGAGACTTCCGTAGCTTCTATGACTTATGGTCTGCTGAACTATAACAAGATTGCTGATAGCCAGAAAGTCCACTTGGTGGGAGTCTGGCCACGTTTAGAAAATTCTGCATGCATGTATAAGTGTTGCCTTTGTGAAATTAAAATCGAGATAACGTGTTCGTATATGTAACTATTTTTGACTATATATACACCACGAGACTAGGCCAATATTTTGGTCTATCCGTAATTCCGTTTTCGTCTTGTGAAATTTATCTATCTGTGTAAATTTTTAGCGCTCTTTCCTTAGGTTTGTACGACGTTTTGCTTACGTTGCTTGCAGACCTACAAAATATAACAGTGGCTATTCGTAAAATAAAAGTGGTTTTTCGCTAAAAATTGGACCATTGACAAATCCTGCGTTAACAATCCGAGGTTACATGTCTGACAGGGGATAGGAGAGATTGGTCATCAGTTTCTAGGAATTGAATAGACCTATTGGGCTATTCGTAGCCTTTTTACAAGTTACGCGTTAGCGTTTTGGGGGCCCTTGTAACCCTGGGGCCCCGAGGCAAATTGCTCCCTTTGCCCTCCTCTCAGGGCGGCCCAGAGTGCGGTGTATATTTATGCTTTATAAAAAGATGTGGGCAAGTGTATGTGGGCAAGTGTATACGTAGAAAACAAAAAGGGCGCCTTCGATTTTAAAATAGTATTTTTACAGCTGCATTAGTTTCTCCAAAAAGGCATTTTTCGTCACAAAAAGGGCACTTAAAATTTTTTTTTTGGGAGGGGGGTACGTGCCCCCTGGTTCCTACGCCGCTATAATACAAACCTTGCATTTTCCGCCTTTTTGATTTCATTTCGCTTCTCTTCAGACAGTTCCATCAAGGGCTCAGTTTTGTCTCTGAATAAAAGTAGAACAACTTTAATACGAACGAAAAGACGATCCCATTATTTTCTTGCTCACCTATTAAATCTGTTATAATCGTAGTGCCGAATCCTATAGGGGGTGGTAAGGTAACGGATGCGAATGAATTTCGGTAGCATTTTATATATCAGACAAAAAACACCAAAATATATGTTGTTGAATTTGAAGTAAAATGTTTGTTTATAAATGATAATCTCACCGGCCATATTATTTAGATTAATCAATACGATTATAACTGAAATAGAAAAAACAGCTAGACCGTGCAATGGAAAATTCCAGTAAAATTGAAATTTTTATTTAATGCTACAAAAAGAAATTAAATGAATAAGGTGTCATGACTTATGTAATATTTAATATATTATTATTAATTGCCCGAAACTCACGTTTTGTAATTTTAAGTCGTGGAAAAAGCCAAAACCGTGGTAAAATATTCGCATTTCAAGTTCATAAATGAGAATCATGTTTGTAAAGTACACATTTTTGGAACAGAGAATTAGTAATATGCTTAATCACTAAACGAAACTGAAATTGACAGTTTCGCCGTTTTATAAAGTCGGGTGCTGCTTTCGCCTTTGACATGATATAATCATAACTGAAAACTCCATGGCATTATTCAGGAATGTATAAGAAAAAAATTCCATTATTAAATGTTTCATGTCATGACTTGTAAAATAATTACCCTCAATATGAATTGTGAAAACATCCTTGCAACGACAAGACATATTGCTATAAAGGACAGGACGTAAATGTAGGTGGACATGCATATGGATACAACTGAGACCCAACATAAACTCTCACTTCCGGTTACACATATAACCCATATTGAACATAAACAATATCAAATATCGCTGATACGTATTTATGCCTGTTTTCTTCGCTTTTATAAGACAAAATACCGCTTTAGAGGTTACTGGTTTCGGTTATATCTCGTTTAGAAGACAAAGCTCACAAACGTTTGGCTGCAATTGATAATCGGTAAGCTACAAAGTAATTTAGCATGTTATATTGTTATAACTTATGTAAGACACGCAACATAATTTGCATGCTAATAATGAAAATATGGTAATAAAATACTGTTCAACTCGCAAAATACACACAGCAACACAATACTCTTCGTTTTGAAAGAACGTAGCTGAGCTGAGTTGGCAGCTTAAACCTAACTCTGTAGACTGTAAGTATTGACAAAATTGTATTTAACAATTGGCTAGAATATTTATAGTTATACAGGCTAGTGAGTTTGTTGATTGTTCGATTTTATAATTCTAATTCGCAACCTAACCTTGACTGTTATTTAATACCTATTGTTATTATTCGACACACACAACACAACAGGCTGGCAAAGCCAATCGCCTGCGAAAACTTTTGAAAAATCGGCTTTACATTTGATTGTTCGAATAACCCGGATCTATAAATACGACGTGAACAACTACGAATAAGATCCCGTCCAATTTTGGTTGTATTAAAAATTTGTATTGTACTGTAGTCTGTATGAGATTCAGCACCGTTGGCGTTGCTATAAGTATACATCATAGTCTTATGGCGATAACGAGTTTGTACAGTTTGTAATAACACTGTACACAGCTTATATTCAAGGGAAAATGTTTCGTATAGTTCAGATTAGAACTTGTGGTCACATGTAAAATGCTGCTTGTCCTTGACAATGAGCAGCGATGTTTCTTTGACGATATATTTAAAGACTGGAACATCATCATATCAACATCATACGTTGTTTGATTTCTATATTTCACTTCGCAACTCACATATACTTATTACTTTTATATTGTCATTGTGGCATTGTGGCGTGTTAAACACACAGCTGAGCAGCCTGAGCTTGTATTAAAACTTAAAAGTGGTTAGTATAAAATGTTGTTCCGAGAATAAGGTCAAGGAAGTGTCTTTATACAGCTTACGCCGTTAATTAGGAAAGCTTGCATTTTGTAGCGTTTTTAGTTTACTCGTTATCCGTGTTAAAATGCAATTTACTACATATGCAGTCATTGTAGCGTTTCAGAATATTTTGATGTTTTTCAATAAACTCGCGCGTTGTTGTCAAATACATGTTAAAAACATTAGAAAAGTTAGATTTACTGTAATCTGTTGTATATTTCTACCCCTTTTATCGGTAAATATTGCAGTATCGCGCTCATGCGAATAAGACAAGCCTAGCCCAGGTACAAATTACAGTAATGAATTTTACAAGTTGCAAAACCGGAAACAAGGAAATCAGTATTTAAAAGATCAGAAATTCTGTCGACGTACAAATCGATAATAAAGGACGATAGATTTTCCTTGCCATGCAGTTAAATCATTACAATGTTGTCAAATGTAGCATCTTATATGCCATGCATAAGTTTCAATGCATGCACATATACACATCACATGCCTTAAAAATATACATGTTTTGTCACTATTGACAGTATTGTAGACAGAACTCATTAGTTATCACGTAATAAGTCACTTATTACGTATTTTTGATTTTATTCAAATTTACCAAGAATTTACAGTATAGGCAGAAATATAGGTTTGTCCATAAGTTGTGTGTAAAATGGTGTGTAAAATACCCTAACCCCTAACTAACGTATTAAATAACCCCCTAACTATTATGGCCTATCAAAAGTAACTTCTTAGAAAACAAAAACGGACATTAGGGAAAATTAACGGTTAGGATTTCCCTCATAGAAAAGCACTAAATTAACATTCAGGATACACGTTTCAAAATTAAGCTTTAGATTGACCAGTAATTAAGTTGTAATCCTTTTTCAACCTTGGCCAGTGGTTTTATTATAATTCGAGTACTATATTGGGACGTCTATCTATATGACCTGTAATTCAATACTCATTGTCTAACAATATAACATGACACGCCACCTGCAAATGTGTTGCATTGTGTTGCCACGTTGCTGAGAAGACACAAGCGCCTCACACAACACTGGGATCTTGTATATTCTTGCTTAGGACTTGGCAATATAAGACGAAAATTGTTGAAATAATTAATACAAATTTTGACGAGCGTCTTATTATTTTTCACCAGACAGGTTAGTGTCTTCCATTGAATTCTCAGTTTGGGAGTTTGACCAGTTTTTTACTTATACGCATGAGACAAATACAATATACCAAGGTCCAAGACAGTGACAGTAAGTTTGTTCAAACTCTATGTTATATTGTTTAAACTGATGAAAGTTTTATTAGTGTTTTGGACGGATGGAGATGTAAGCCATCGGCAACTCTTGTTCAACACTTACAACCTTTCTGTCTTTCAGTTCCAATCTTGATAAGTTTACGAAAATGTCTGCACTTTTAACCTGTACAGTAGAGTAAATGTTTGTATACTAATTCTCGCTTGTTATAACTGCGGTAGACTAAGTTTATAACCGGGAATCCACAGTGATCGGTAGATGGATCGACTCGTAAAAGGGCTCAAAACGTTTGAATTATTCTTAAAAAAAATTTTTTAAAATGATTGCAAAGTTTGACTCGATGAAACAGAGTTAATAAATTGCAATGGAAGCCTCTGAAACGCAATTTATTATCTAAAGGTGTTTGGGATTAGACCTTGAACAATGTTGTGTTCTTTCAGAACTTAATTAAACTTATGGAAATGCTACACGAAAACTACGTCGAGGAGTTCTCTCGTGAACGACTAATGGAAGACATACGACAGTACCCTTGCATTTACGACAAGTACGACAAAGACTATCCAGACAAGAACGCCAAAAACAATGCCTGGTCGGCCATAGCAGCGAAGTATGGTATCACCCCAGCAGATGCGGATAAAAAGTATAAAACAATGCGTAGTTCTTATACCAGGTATTTAAAGAAAAAACGAAATACGCCGCCAGGAGCCAAAGTGCCGCCCCTACCTTTGGCGTTTGTAAACTTAGACTGGCTTGCCAGTCACATCGACCACAAGGAGACGTCTGTGAAATATGCAGTCAATGAAGCTAAAGATGATTTTTATAGTGATTACATGACAGGTAAATATTGATCACTTCACTATTGTTCTTCGAGTGGTAACACAAATGATCAGATGCATTGTAAAAGACAGCATTTTTTAATGTTAAAATTGCAAACGCATACTGTGCTTTTCAGCTTTTGGTTTTTTTTGGAGAAACCCCCAAATCTAGCCCGGTTTTTGGTTGATACGGTTTTGGAAAATAACCCTTATAAATTTCCGTGATAAATACATTAAAAAGTAGCTAGACGACATTATATGGGAAACCAAATGAGAGGTGAAAATAATTTTGTGGGACAAATATTTGGCTCCCTTCCCCCAACTTAGGGTGGTCGAATCGAGCTATATAGTCCTTCATTGTGCAAAGGGGCCTACCAAATCAGCCAGCGAAACCATAATATTTCTGCGTACACTGGCCCTTTTAAGTGAGTGATATTTTCACAGCGTTTCTCATTTCAAATCGCCTTTCTATGACATTGCGTGAAATAACGTTTATTCAACAGACGGAGAGGATGCGTACCACAGCAGTTATGGTGAAATAATGCGAGAAGAGAACAATTCAGGCGATCTGATAGAAGTACCTAGCTCAAATATAGCCAGTCGCGCACGAGATAGCTTAAAACCAGAGCAAGCGACAAGTCGTCATGTAATGGAAAGTTTAAAACCAACGACGACCAGAAGCCAAACACCTCATGTAAAGGACAATCTTCGACCCGACCCTTTGCCGACACCACACGTAACGACACCTGAATATCAATCGATTCGAGCCACTTCTCCGCCTGTTAACAATCATAGCAATCTCGTGTCTAGCACACAAACCCCCCAAGCAAACTGTCCGAAAACCATCACAATGTACTACAACACACCAAACGACTCGCCTAGTGACACCGTGTTTAATCTCATACCCTTGGAGTCGGTAAAGCCTACAACAACGACGCCACCACTGTCGTCGGAAAGTAACGGAAAACGAAAACGGATCGAGTGCGACGACGAAGATGAATTGTTTTTCCTGAGTCTCGTACCAACTCTTAAGAGACTGGGCCCGAGGAATAAGACCATTGCTAAAATGAGAATTCAACAAGTCCTATTTGACTTGGAGTTCCCCGAAAGTGGGTAGAATTTGAAACGCTTCGGTCGAACTATGCGGGGTGACAGGCGTAAGGTTGGAACGATTGTTAATTCATATTTTCTTTTTTGAACGAACATAACAAGATGCCGTTTAACCGTGTCTTTTTACAGCATATTAACAACAACATTGTGAAATGAATCTCGCCAGATACTATTTTAGATTATGTTGTTCAAAGCGTTTGTATAGGCAGCGACATTTTTATTTGACAATTCTACGTTGCAAAATAGACCACTTGCATTATGACGTCACACGCACAGTTGCAACACACGGCATCCATTTCGTTTGAAAGCAAGTTACAGCCTCCTCCCGTCATGAATCACGGGGACTCATGCGTGTGACGTCATAATGCAAGTGGTCTATTGCCATCATGCCTCTGTGTATGTCTGCTCTGTACACATATTATACTTTTTGGTAAAAATACTTCTTGCGCAGCTTCACTAACAACAGACGCGTACACGGTAGCTAATTACCGTCTGGCTAACTACCATTGCTGCCCCCCCCCCGTACGAAACAACCCTCGATCCATCCCTGCAGTGCATGCCCAGCAAGTGCTACAGCGATCTTTGGACAGATTTAGTTGTACGTTGGATATTAGAAGTAGGATACGTCAGCGTCGCTTCATATTACTTCATCTTACAAATCAGCGGAGAAAAATAAAAACTCTTACCGATAGAGGGAATAGATTTTTTGAATAAAAACAGATCAGGAAATAACGGTGAAATTTCCGAGAAAAAAATGATGATAATTTGTCTTACCTGAAGTAAAACAACGCTCCATCGTCGTTAACCATGATCGGAAAGTGTCGTAATGTTTCGCCTTTAGGGTTCCATTCATAATCGTCGTGAATATCTAGAGCGGAAATTTCGAACGGAAAGGAACCGCGTCCCTGAAAATATAAAAATACCCGGGTATTAGAATACATCCACATTCACGATATGATAATAGTCTGCTTGACGTAATAAAAGAAAGATATTCTTCGCCCAAATTATTTTATCCTGTGTACCCCGTGATATTTGATGGACTATATTGTCAAATATTATTACGTCTCTTTACGTTAGCAATCTTGTTTCACTTCACAATGCTGTTTCGATAACTTAAGCCCCCTTTACACTATACTCAATTTATTGGCACGGCACGGCTAAAATTGCTAACCGTACCTAATTTTATTAGTTACCAAAACAGGCTACCAAAACAAAGGCCTAGCACAGATGAAAATCGGGTACCCATTTTAGCCCCGCCATGCCAATAAATCGAGTGCAGTGTAAACGGAGCTATAGTCACTTCCATTGAACGCATTTAATCCGTGTGCAATATTGTTTATACGTTGTACAAAATGAAACGTAATGCATGCAGTTCTGCATGACTCCCTAACGCGCTCTGGCTAAGCTTTTCGTTACACTCAAACATTAGCGTTTCACGGTACACCTCTGTCAAAGTAGGTCCTTTGTGCCATAGTATATACCTTAGCAACTTCTACGTCGTCAGCAGCAATGTTACTGAGGCAAGATATCTAAAAGAGAAAAAAAAAATTCTGTTGATCTATATAAAGTAGCTGAACGCAACGTTATACGTATGTCTTCCAATAAAGCGGCTGGGCATACGTGACTGTACACTATTGTACGATTTCGCGTTTTCTAAAAACTCTTTCAACACCATTACACTTGACGACAGACAAGACTATGGTGGGTGTGCTTTTATAACAAAACGAAGATGTGTCGTTGCGCCTGTATTTCTGCCACTTACCTTCGCTTTAAGATCCGAAACAGTGGCTTCGCTATCTAAAATTATCTCCAGCATTTCTTCAAACGTATATTTAGAAGGTCGCCACCTCTTTACGTACACAGACATCTGACTTTCGTTTTCTACGAAGTCGGGTCCTATAACACAAAACATTCAAGGTGCAAAGTGAACCAACAGCAGCTTGGGCAAGCAATACGACAAAAATCGATATAAACGTGCATGTTTCTGAAACAGATACCAAGAATAACATTCGGCGTAGCCTACCTGGTAATTCTTCGACAAAGGTCTCTGCGGTTCCAGAACAAATCATGATGTCATCCAATTTCTGGTCGTTATGATAAATACGACCTGGTGATTTCCAGGCTTTTCTACGTAGCCTCATTCTAATAAACACCAGAATAATATTGTTTACCCAAAAACTACCTCTACACAAACGCAGTAGTCCAGGTTTATAATGGACAATGTTAAATCATTATTTGCCGGTGTATTTATGAGGCTCTTCGGCTCACCTTTCAACTGGAATATCTCGTTTACAATTTTGCTTTATTTCTTCGTGAATATTTGCCTTCATATCCAAAATTTTCATGGTTTTCGATAAAATTGTTTCCAGAAGAAATTCCGTATGCTAAAACGCAGTACATAAATACATTCAATTTGACTGTGTAGAGATTCAACTTTAAAGCGCTGCATGTTATGCTATGCAATTTTCCTTGCAACTTGCAATGTAATTATCATTTTGAAGGATGTTAATTTGCAAAGAATGTTCGAAATGCTAAGAAAACGTTAGCAGTTCGTTAAAAATGTTCGTATAATTTGTCAAATGTATGAATAAAAGGTAGCTGCACGAGAGACAGATTGTCACATGCATGCTATGACGTTTTCGTGTCCTGAAATCCAACTTACAAACATGTTTGATATTAAGGGTCCAAAATGTCTAGTAATTAGGCAAGTATGGACGAATCTCTTTTTTCACGCCAAAATATCTATGCGTGGTGATAGAAATAGCATCAAAATATTAGTCTAACCTGATCTTTATTAATTCGCAATAAGAAAATTTTTGACCTAAATTCCCCAGTTTTTAAAGCTCGACCATGTTTGATGAGAATCTGAAACAAAAATCATAAATTGTAAGTACAAATATAGTCTTTGAGAGACGACAAATCACTTCATTGGTTCGATGTTTCTCATTCCTTTTAAACTTTGCGACAATAAGGCGAATTTATGAGCTATAGCACATTTAATAGTAAGTGATTTATTTACATGCATTCAGTAAAGGTTTGTTTTTTTTTCTCCAAATTTCTGCCAGAAAAATAGCAAAGGTAGACTATTTGGTTAAGGTGGGTTCCAAAAAGCGGAATAAAATTTTCCGCCTAATTTTCTTTAATTGTGATTGACTTCGTGATTTGGTATTTTGCTTAGAATTTCTCAACCTCGTACCCAGTGGGAATTTCTTACAATTTTTCAATCGATCAAACTTTCTCGACAGGGCAAAAGCAATATACATGCAAAGATTCTTGCTCTTAATTGTTAGTATGGGTAAGATAATTTTTAATTACATTTTCCTTTTCGAATTTGTTTTTAGCGTTTCACCAATGAAATTAATAACCGAAAACGCATAAACTGATATAAATAATCGACTGAAATGGCTTCACTTCACCCATGCGAGTTATTCTCGTGCATTCGCACCTCTCTAAAACAATAGATAATGAAGCATTTCTTTTATATATCTATTATATTAGCTATCGCTACTGCGTCCTTAACATGACATCGTTCAGCGTTAAAGGCCTGCCCATTAGAAAAGTATAGATGAGTTTATAACTTACATAGCCTTCGTTATCTATATTGTTTAGATTTCTTTCAACTGGATCGGAATTCTACAAATAAAGTAGGCATAACCAAGAAAAAATTTTACCTTGCTCTTATCCGGGACTGTATTAAATGTTTCTGTTAAACGGTCCATTTCGATCTCTTGACTGTTTGAGTAGATACGAAACACCTGAGAAGGGAAAGCATGATTATGTCACGATGAACACGACTAAGAATTTGAGTATAAAAGAGATGTGGGTTTTAATTGGAAGAGATTTTGATGTCTCTACGAAGATTTTACTTTAAAAGTACTGTAATTTCAATGATCTTTGACAAAGAATTTTGTAGTGATGAATATACAAGAGAATTAAGACTCCTCTGATACAATGTGAGGTAAAACGATTTACACTACAAAGACTATGCGGAAAAATTAATTTAATTTAATTCTATTTCTGCCGAAAAATTTAAGCAAAATATTAAAGTACCATGAGGAGTTCGAATGCGATATACCTAAAGTACCATGCAAAAAAACTAAAGTACCATGAGGAGTTCGAATGCGATATACCTGCATAAATTATATATGATACCAATGTATGTCACCACTAAAAATCCTCGTGTAGAAAGATGGCGGGAAAATTGTGCTACTTGGCGTACAACTTAGCGTCGCGAAGTCCGAAAACCCGACGATTTACAAGTAGCTACAACGCTTCAAACTCGAGGACGCTGCATGCGCGCGTCAATTTATTTAAAAAAAAACCAGGATCTAACCTTGAACATTTCCGGAGAACTATTCATCTTGCTGTTCACTTTCTCTTTAAATTCGCAGAGTGTGATATTTTTATGAATGGTCATATTGACTATGTGAAGAACGAAAAATTTGAATTCTCAAGGAGATTCATTACAAACTAGGGAGGGGGGGGGCGGGGTTCCAGGTTTTAGATGCTGTAGATTCATTACAATGATCACCGGTGTTATGTAAGTCATGGAGTAAAATACTGTAATAGAGCACTTACAAACATGTTTCTCAGTTGTGTATACATCGTCTGGGAGATTAACTTGCAACGTGATGGAATTTGAATACTTGTCCAGAACATTTAGAAGTTCACTGTCCAGGGTTTCGCCAGGATCCTCATCCGTACATTGCACAAAAATCTATAGTAAGACAAAATTGCAGTTGAGTTCAAGACAGAAAGCGAGGTTAAGAAAAAAAATTTCAGCAGAAATACTGTAGGCCTCCGTTTACTATAATATGACTGTTTTCTCTAAAAATACACCGAGAATGAAATATTTATAAATAAAGACATGAAAAGGTTCATGCCTCAACCGCCATACCGCAGATACCTGAAATAAACGGAGTACTAAACCAAAGCAACGATTTTAGTGTATTATAATACAGTGAACTATAGTTCAGTGATTACGAATAATCCCGTCTGTTTTGCAATGATTGAAAGGCATGGTTTCAACTAAGACGTGAGTTATAAACATGTCCCACCCCCAGTTTTCACAATTATTGATAACACTAATAGATCTGTACAAAAAAGCACTGAAGTTCCCAACATACATAGAAACTTTTAGTGACCGTATATAACGAGATGACATGCAGCTGGTATGTCAGCTTTCACGACTGAAGAAAGGCCAGAAGAAAAACAAAGACATGAAACTCTATTCAATTGCTTGACTTCCAAAGAACATCAATTGGCTTTTTGTAAAACATCCGGCACCTTTTTTGTCGTGATCTATTGGATATAGTGCATGCATAGCGATTTCTCCTCGGTTACGGGATCTCCTAACATACTGCATGTAGCAGTTCAGGGGCGGCATGGTTGTACGAAACCTGGATAGTTCGTTAGACCGTTATAAAAATACTTATAAAAATAACTACGACGTTCAACATTGAAAAACTCTTGAAACGAAATTACAAAGAACTCGAGTGACCTAATCCTGCTTTATAAATAAAGCGCAGTAAATAAAAACACCAAGAACAGAACCAACCACATCTTAAGACTAACGTGTCTACTGTAGCGAATGTATAGCAAGCTTTTAAAACATATATACTTATATACATACCTTATTTTTCTTAAAGAAGTTTTCATCTCGTAAAGATCTGTTTTCAGATGGCTTAATTTCACAAAACTCCGACGAATATCTCTCCCAAACCATAATAA